GGCATGTTAGTAGCGAAAACTCGATGTCTGATCACAAACATATTAAGTTTGTGATTGGAGCATCACCAACCTACGAAACCGTTACTATTAGGGATCCAAAAGCGACCTCCTGGGATATCTACAGAGATAGCCTAAGGAGGAATTTGGAAACGTTTCCTAAAAGCATCAAAAATATTGAGGGTATGGGCGACAGTAACCGTAGGTATAAGTGAAGCCTTCGAGGACAGTCGTTCCATCAAAACCAAGACCTCAACGCGAAAAGTTCCTTGGTGGAATACCAAGCTAAAAGAACTTAGGGAAAAGGGGACCAGGAAACTATTTAATAGGGCTAAGAAAACCAAAGAGTGGGATATTTATAGCGCAGCCCTAACTGAATATAATAAAGAAATTAGGAAAGCCAAGAGAGCATCGTGGAGGAAGCTATGCGAGTGAGTTGAGCCTTTGGCTCGCAGTGCAAGACTACACAAAATGCTATCGAAATCTAAACCTAATCAGATCGGCTTTCTTAAAAAAAGCCGCATGGTAACTTCACTAACAGTGAAACGGAAACACTGGAGTTACTAGCGTCAACCCATTTCCCAGGGTCACACAAGACTTCAGCCTTGTATTCTTTCAGAGCCCTACGAAGGCCTTGTAATGAGGACTGGTATAGGGCTGCAAAGATAATAAGGCCAAACCTGGTGTAGTGGGCTGTTGATTCCTTTGAACCATTTAAATCAAGCGGGGAGGATGGAATAATTCCCATCCAACTACAGAGGGGTTTCGACATCCTTCTTCCTTATCTGGTGAAAATCTTCAGAGCAAATTTTGCATGGGGATATATTCCAGAACGATGGACAATTGTCAAGGTTCCATTTATACCTAAGGCTGGTAGAAAGAACTACGCTTTACCAAAGTCCTTTAGACCTATAAGCCTATCTTCCTTTCTCCTTAAGACATTGGAAAAGGTTATAGATAGATATATAAGGGATATATAACCAGCATACTTACCGAAGAGGCAAATCTACGGAAACAGCCCTGATCAGTGTCATCGACAGGGTCGAAAAAGCACTGGAGGATAAAGAAATAACTCTTTGTGCCTTTCTAGATATTGAAGGCGCCTTCGACAGTAGCCCCACATATCTGCTGATTGGGGGCCTGACATCTAAAAATGTTGACCCCACAACCATCAGATGGGTGAAGCCGAACACCATAAATAACTGGTGTAGGGATAACGGTTTATCAGTTAATACTGATAAAATTGTTATAATACCCTTTACCAATCGATCGACCAAAAACTAACGTGGAACTCACCCTAGCAACGTATGTCATAAGGCAATAATTGCTATAGATACGTGCAGTCGTTTGGTCGGGAACACCTGGGGCTTGCGTCCCAGTATGGTCCTATGGCTGTACAGCAACATTGTGAGGCCGATTCTCACCTACGCCTCTATTGTCTGGTTAAACAAGGCCAAGCAAAAGACGACTGCGGACAGACTAAATAGTCTACAAAGAACTGCCTGCTTAATGGCAACTGGAGCTATGCGATCATCGCCTGGAGCGGCTCTTAATGCACTTCTATGATGCCCTTGATCTTTATTTAGACAAGAAGGCGAGGGCTAGTTTGTATAGGATTAACGCCCAGGGCGGCCTGAGCTTGCTCTCCCACAGATTGAGCTCCATGCTCTCCCTAATTAAGGATTAGGAGGACAAATAAGGATGCTCGACTCAATTAAGGAATCACAGGTCTTATGCATGATCTCAGACATCATGCGTCCACTACACACTTTTGATAAAAAGTATATAGTGGAATTATAATTATTTTATACGTGGTAGAGCCATGCTGCATTTATATTAGTAGTATAGTTGTAGCACGAATGGGTCGGCTCGACCGGGGAAGGACCACGCTCTCACAGAATACCAGCGTGAAGTAGTAGCTTAATGCTGCTGTAATTCGTATGGTGAGTGTAGAGAACCGGAGACCCTTTTTACTAGAAACGAGGCATTCCATCTTAGTCCTTACGGGTGACAACGCATCTGCATTTTGATTCGTAATCGAGGATAGATGTAGATGTCTATGGGCCACAGCAACCACTTACCATCAGGTGGACTGTGTGCCCGTTTGTCACCCTATCCTATATAAAAAAACCCTCCAGAGAAGACTGGCTGAATGGCCAGGTTATCTGTGAGGTCGGTAGCCTCATATGCTATACCGATGGGTCTAAAATGGGCCTCGACTTTGGAACTTTGGAGATTGGACTCGAGGCTTCGGAATTTACGGGGAACGCCCCAAATTCAAACTTAGCACGAATTTGGGTAGATACACCTCTATCTTCCAGGCAGAAATTTTCGCATTACTTCGGTGTGCGGAAATCAATCTTCAAAAACACTGCGTCAACCATATAATTTATAAAAACTCTGATAGTCAAGCAGCACTGCTAGCGCTGAGGTCAAACTTAGTGAACTCAAAGCTAGTTGGAGACTGCGTGAACCATTTAAACACCCTGGGATGTAACAACAGGGTCGTTTTAAGATGGGTTCCGGGTCACGAGGGTATATTAGGCAACGAATTTGCCGACAAACTTGCACGGGAGGGCTCAAAGTGCACACAATTTGGACCTGAGCCATTTTGTGGAATCTTAAGAAGCCTAGCCCAATTGACCCCTGTAAATCTTTATCACAATAAATCACTTAAGATTTGGTCTGACACACCAAGCTTAAAACATTCTAAAACCTTAATCCGGGCTTTTGATCGTAAATACGCCTCAGAATCCCTGGGATTAAGTAAAAATAAATTGAGCATTCTGGCAAGAGCCCTAACTGGACACTGTTGTCTTAAAAAGTACATGTCCATCCAGGGACTAAGCAACTCAAGGATGTGTCGGTTCTGTTCCATAACGGAAGAACCACATCTTAACTGATTGCCTACCCTTAATGCGCAAACGTAACACTCATCTTGGAAATTATCTACTCCGTCCAGAAGAAGTGAAATTTCTCACGGCTAAGCAACTCCTTCTACTCACAACTATAGCTACGTTAGTACTCTTATTAGTTTGTGACTATAGCCATAGCAGCGATCACAATAGATCCTCTAGGTTGCAGTGATACTGGTCTCTTTCCCTAGACCTGTATAGCTGCTCGCAAATGAAATACGAAAATCTCCAGTCCAGCGTACTTGTATATATAGAGGTCAGTGTAAACAGCTTACTTCAAAAGCCACTACTCATCGACGGCAGCGCCTTTATTAATTCTACAAATTTTCAGGGACAGGCGGGCTATTCTTTAGTACGTAGCTATCGTTCTACTTCTCTCTAACATCCATGGCTTGTACACTTAAAAGTGTTAATGGTTCATCGATCTGTTTTTTAATGTTCCGGTACAACCACTCAAAAACAATTGACGGAATCTCTCTATGCATACATGTCTTAGAGTATGTAAAATTCAACTTTCATTATCCTTAGGTAACGTAAAAATAAAAATCTGAATCCTTTTATTTTACAATTATAATTCATCAAATAGACAGGTTATATACATATAATTTTTTTAATTACATTTATACTTTTTAGCCTTTTTTATTCTACAGATAAATATAATAAGTGTTTATTAACAAAAACTATTTCTAAAAGTATTTACAAAAGACTAAACAGTGCTAAAAAAAGACTTTAAAATTCACTCGTTACGCGCGTTGGAACGCGTTAGCCCTCACTGCATATCTAATTCTAACATGAGCTCCCGTGCGATTATATGTATAATTATTTCACGCAGGTAGCAAGAACGCTAAAAAGAGGCCTATTATATGACTAGGACTTGTTATCCTTTGCCTTTCCTCGTTTATAGTTAAAAAAAGTTAATCATTGACATTTGACATTGACACTCTGACAGTTTATCCATAGATTACTGACTATATACTAGAGAAGTTTATCTGACACTGACACACAGAGCAACATCTACAAATATCTTTATTTCATCAATTATAATATTGTTCTCATGTCTGATCGCTAATAACTGAATTTTTATAGTTTAATTCAATACGACTTAACAAAAAAGGTACTGAGCTGTATTACTTTTATTTAGGCAAGTAATAAATGTTGTAGGTTATCATATTTAAATGAAAACATTCTATTCCACGTGCATACGAATAGTTGTTTTTTGTAGTAAATTTAGAATTGGTTTGGAAACTTATTTGATAAACGTTCTATGATAAATACCAGAATAAAATATTTGTATCAGTAATTTAAGGGGACTGCGTCTGGATTACTTTTAGTACATACTTTTTCTTTTATAAACTGTTTTATCAACCATAACGAACCAAACAGAAGAATTTTTATTGCACCTACAAATTCTCTGTGATTCTTGTATTTCTTTGGTAGAAATATTATTTGTAGTTGCTATTTTCAATATGAAAATCTTATATTTAATTTGCATTGATTACTTTTCATGATTTAATGTGTTACATTTTTAACAAAATGATTTTATTATTAACAATTTATTCATATATACTTTTGTAAAGTTTTCCTACTCATATAATATTTGTTTTTATGTTTGTATTAAATGGTATTATTTTTCATTAACATTATGGGCATTTGGCCATATTCACAATTATTACTCTAGGGTCTTAGTCTAACAATACTCTTGAATGCACAGGGTACAGAAAAATCTATCATTAACAACACTTGAGGATCTTCATTGTAATGAATGCACCGTTAAAGTACCATAATATAGTATAATGCAACAAATGTATAGAAATGTCAAACTAGTATTGGATAGGGGTTAAAGTTGTTTTGTTGATTGCCTCAGTTATTTGAATTGTTTGTTATATTTTTTTTCTCATTAATTTTGTTTATAAAATAAAAGGCAAAGGATTATAGAAGCATTTTATGTTTGTGAATATGGGCATTAATAACTAAAGTTTTAAAACAATTTTGATTGAATGCCATTATTGCCGTTAATAACCAATAAAAAAATTTAATAAATTCCTAATTAGAAAGGAATATAACTAAAAACAGATTTTATTTTGCAGCATGGCTCCCAAAAAGGTCGAAGAACCTGAGAAGAAGCCTCTGATTGGAAGAGTGGGCACAAATTTAAAAGTTGGTATTGTAGGAGTACCAAATGTAGGCAAATCCACATTCTTCAATGTGCTGACTAAAAGTCAAGCAGCTGCTGAAAATTTTCCTTTCTGCACCATTGATCCAAATGAAAATAAGTATCTTATTACACTTTTGCTTTATTACCAAGGACATCAATTATCACAATTATACAATCTCTACATTCAACATTCATAAATCTGAGATATCTTCAAACTAAATATACTTGAACTTGGAATTATTGTTAACTTGTATATTATATAAATATATGGGTGATTTCTGGTTCTCGACAACAGCGCCACCTACCTGGTCCAATGGTTTCTAAACTTAACCCCTAAGGTACCGTGGACATGTTGATAGGTCCAAGTTTTGTGACCGCTAAGTACAGAGGACATGTATACATGTCCGCATTACATGCTACTATTTTTGTCATTAATTGATATAAAAATACAGTATATTTTCGATTGAACACTATTTCATTTGATTCTGAACGAACTAAAGAATATTCTGTAGCATTATATTCACTCGGTTACATAGACATCATCAAATATAACAGCCATTCGCTTTTGCGTGCCGGTACAGTGGGTTGCGTAATCGTTGAAGTTTTGTGATTGTGATTTTAGTTGGATTTTCTTTCAAAACAACTGTAAGTATTGTTATTTATCTTTACTACGTAATGTTTTTGAATGATCTAAGTTACAACAACAGTAACTTTTTATGTTTCAATTGATAAAAAAGTAGAAACAAAAAACCTCTACGTGAACAATTCATAACGGTCAAGATTTCTAATAAGATAATAATAGTATATTTCTTATTCGAATACCATAGTAAATACTTTTATTAGGAATTGCTAAATGATATATCTATATGATTGTATAAGAAAAATAAAGGAAGACGCTATAATATATACACAAAAAGGTTTTGAAAATGAGGTTACAAAGCGCGCGCAAACTGTCTATTGTCGAATTTTTAGCAAATGTTTGCAAGTGAAAAAGTAGAATTATTATAATTATTACATGCATAATTTTGATTCATTTAGGAAGAATATGTTGTATTGATTGTAAGGACATAAAAGTAAAATAAAAACTTACGATATTTCATTCATAAAACAAAATTTATTGTCAGTAAGTACACTTTATAAAGATCGTTAGAAACAAAGAGCTGTACATAATAAAATAAACATTTAAATGTTATGGTTATTGTTTCTACTAATCGAAAATCTTATGGGCTTTAAATAACTGTAACTAAAACCTCTTTAAACATAAATGAAAGGTTGTAAGAAACATAAATATTTAAAACAAGTGCTGCCAGCTGAGCTGATGACAGAGGCCGCCGTACAAAGCTGTTTTTTGTTATATGGCGGGCGCAGTAAGGGAAAGGTTAACCTAAACCACCCAGGGACTCAAACACAAATAATTTCATCAAAATTGAGTCATTTTTGAGTTTTATAGATAGTAGAGAGTAATGGCCAGCATTAAATTTTTTATATAGATACACTCTAATTAACAAGTTTTTCCAATCTATAAAGTTAATGTGGTTGCATTAATAACATGCAGCATGAGGTGGCAGATAAGGGAAGAGGCCAAGAATATGTAGTTTTTCTTTACTAATTTTGAAAATAAATATTCAAAATGGATGGAGGTGGCTCAGAACCGTGCTTTGTGGCATTCCTTTAAGAATGCCTATGTTTAGCATTGAACTTGAAGGGCTGTAATGAAAGAAGATTAAAAATCTGTTTTCAGAGTTATACTTTTAAAACTAAATTAGTCATCTTCATAAGTGGTTAAAGGAGGGGCAGGGGAGAGGTGACGGGTGTCTCCTCCTACTGATTTCCTCGAACCTAGTGATAATATAATGCCTTAAATTCCCCTACTGGTACTTCAATATTTATAGCCGCAATTAATCTCAAAAATAAATCTATAATATTTTGAAAAAGAAAACATTAACTAATCTACATTTATATTAACTTATATATGTTATATACAATATTCACAATAATAAGGAAACTACAATTATTTAATTGTCCCTAACATCTTAGGATACTGCCAAAGTACTGGCTGCTGCTGTTAACCTTTTTTCTTTACATGTTTCATATTTAGTTAATTGCTTGTCACATTAATTGACATTTAAATTTGATAATAAAGGTTCTTATATGTCAAATGTATACATGTTTGAAGAATGACTGAAAATGATAATCCTTCTTCATACTTCCAAATTACGGACAAATTTAATATTAATAATGTGGTACCTAATAAAAATATTATATACAGTGGAGACTTAAACCATGTAAAAACAGATATAGGTGAGGAAACTGATAATCGTCCTAGGCCAATGGCTGTGGCTATTTTAGGCATAAATAACACAGCATCACCACTTCCAAATAACCTAGATTCCTATCATACTTGGACTGATATTGATTCTCAAGAAACTTATCTGAATTTGAAACCAATGTGCTACACCATTTTAGCCAAACCGGGAACTGGAGGATACTCACTTGGAGAAAGTATGGCCAAGAGATTAAATGTCATACATATTAGTCCAAAGAATGTCATTGAGGATGAAATAGAACAAAGTAGTCCCACAGGGAAATGTATTGATTTTAATTTACGGCATAACAATATTTGTAAGTTTGATACAATTTGGACAATAATGAAAAAGAAATTAGATTCGCCTGCTATAAAACACAGAGGCTATGTTATATCCGGGCTCCCATTGGTAACTTGTAGTAAAAATATGGAGTGTTTTTATGGAAATTTTCATGATGAAGACACAGTATTACATGCAGAGGAGTTAGTAAATGATTTAATTACAAATGTGTATAAAAAGAGAGCTAATGTGATAAGAAATGAACAACCAGTAAATCTTGATTCTTCGAATAGTAGTGAACTTATGTCAGAAATTGAAAGTAATTTTGAAGAAGAAGAACAAGAAGCCGAAGTAAATGAAGCAATGGACCTAGTTAGAGCATTACCTAAGTCTGTTTTAGAACCTTCTCATGGCTTAATTTTATTTACAAAAGCCTATCTATATTCAAAAAAAGCTATGCTGCTACATCAGTGTCAAGAAATATTTAGTTCTAATGTTAAACCTAACATAGTTATTTATATTTCATGCCCTGATACAGATGCAGTTACTAAAAGAAGTCGCAAATACTTTAATTACTTGTCTACTAATCCTATTGATAGTCACCCATTTTTATTAAAAAATGATGAGACGGGATGGCCTACTAAATATTCCATGCTAGTGAATCTATCAAATTTTAGTGACAACACTTCCTTAAAATGTAAATATTCCTGTACAATGCCAGTTAATTTTACTTTTAATTCTACAAATCAGATGTGTAATTACAAGAATTATATCATGCCTTATTTAGAGAATAAAATAAAAGATTTTGACTCTAAATCTGTGCTTAAATTGGATGGTCGTTATCCAAACCAAGAAATGATAAACCTTTTATTAGAAAAAATTATATCTTTGCCGGCTAAACCTGTTTTAATACCAGAACCTTTGTATCTTGAGGATTCCTTTGATGAGATTGAGGATTTTTGGAAATTGGCTGAAGAAACTAACGTTATTAAATATGGTTCAAAAAAGTTCATTAGATATGCATCGCCTTGGTATAATAGATGTCCAGTAGAACTAAAAAAAAGACATGTAGTTAGAGGCTTACCAAAATTTGCGGTTGCCTTTTTCAAACACATCTATCTTTTATCATCATTGAATGCTATGATCACATTCTGCCGAAATCCGCGACCATTTTTAAAGCTGGAGTATTTAGAGCCAACATGTAGAATAATAGTAATGGGAACAAAGTCATCTGGTAAAAGTATGATTACACAGTGTTTATCCTGGTTGTTTGATGCTCCTGTTATAAGTTATGAGTCATTTGTCAATAATGAGAGGCAAAAAAAATATGATGAGTTTTATAAGTCAATATTATCTAAAGTAGTCACAGACATTGAAGAAAACAGAAAAATAGAATGGCAAAGAAAAGAACTAAATAGAATTGCTAAATTAAACGATTGGAACGATATAACTAAAAAAAAATTACAGAACTATGTACTTTTAATAAAAAAATACCAAACTTTTGAAATAGATGGAACAAAAGATGACAAGAATTCTGATATTGCAGGACAAGGAAGTGATTTTTTCGATGAATTAGCAAATATACGGAATCAACTTAGTTTCTTGCCTATGTTAGATGACATTCAAAAATGTCAAGAAATTCTTGAAAATGAAAATTTGTTCCAATTTGCATCACATGATTTAACTACATCAACGCCTAAACCAGGTGTGCCTGCCATCGGTGACGAGGATGTTATGAAAGCAATAACTGCGTTTATTCTAGAAAATAATGTTACTATGGATATTGAACCAACTCCATTAGAAATAATGCAAGAACTAATTAAGGCATTGAAAAGTTTTGATATTCATGTGCAAAGTGAATCATATTATGAGTATGAATATGGGAAGTACATAATTGATGGATTCCCCCCAGATTCAGAAATTTGGCAATTTCTTTTGGATTCACTTTTATTACCAGATTATGTTATAGTTATCAAAGAGAATAGAGAGGTCGATGAAGTAATTGCTCAGAATTATATTGATATTAACACATGTTCAAAAAGTCATGATACACGCTTTCTTTTAGCTAATGACGATTTTATAAAAATTAAATTGCTTTCAAAAAAAGTTACACAAACACCTCCAATTAATGATAAAATGTTCATAAAAGATCTTATAAATGCTATGATGGAATCTATTTTTATGAATAAAAGTGAGTTTATAAAAAAAATTAACGACTCTATGAACAAATTTCGCGAAGACTGGGATACTTTGCAACTTAATCTCAAAGAAATGTTTATAACATGTATTGAAGTACAAATTGAAGATAAAACAGATATCGAAATAATAGAAGAAGTATTATTAAAAATACGTAGAAGTTATTGCACCATTGCTAACTCCAGTTTGGGTGAAATAATTGAATCTGATGAAAGTGAAAAAAATGCATCACTTACCACCCTATATGATATTGACCCTCGATTTTTATGCGAAACTAATATTTATTGTCCAGTTAGTTATTACAAATATGGTGTATTATGGAAAGGTAAATCAGAACTTTGTCTCAACTATGACAACAAATTGCATTATTTTTGTAAAGAAGAATTTTTAGAATATTTTCAAAATGATATTACAAGATATCAATCATATAACAAACCCTTTAAGAAAATACCTCCTTTGAGAATATGCGTAACTGGATGTATTGGAAGCGGAAAAACGTCTGTGTCGAAATTAATAGCTAAAGAATATGGCTTAGTTCATATTGACTTTGCTGAAATTCTAAATTCGTACTTATTACCTCTTCACTGTAAAAAAGTTGGCCGCCATTTTGAAAATAGTTTCACTGACCCTCCAATAGATGAAAGCACGGTCACAGGATTTGATTTAAACGAAGAAAATATATACCCAGATTCAAGTATTCTGCCTAATGAAAACGAATTACGACGCATGATTTATAATTACTTAGAAAAGGGAGCACCTTTATCACCTCTTTTGATGCAAAGGTTATTAAAGAAGTTATGGTTTCATACTCCGTTTTCAGCTATCGGGTTTGTGTTAGATGGATTTCCTAAAATGGCAAGTGACGTCGAAGATATGACAGAATGCGTTTGTATCCCTGATTTAATATTTGAATTGGAATGCAGTCCTGAAATTTCGGCGCAAAGATTGTCAACAAAAATGTTAAATGTCTGGAAAACTCATTTAAATGACGCAAAAGCTAAATCACTAATAAAATTAGAAAACGATCGGCTACAATGGTTAGACTTTATAACAAAAAATATAGTAGTAAAACTTATTATTGACGATATTTTCGACATCAGTACAATACCAAATGAACGGGTAACGAATGTTTCTACACAAAGTGCTATAATGGACGCACATCCATCTGGATCATCGAATGTTGATGCTAATTTGTTTAATACATATAACAATATGATACTGGAATATCCAGAACCTCTTGATCGAAACAATTGGGAAAAACCAGATGATGTACGCGAAAAAATAGTTACTAGAATAGAAGATACATATGAATTAGACGATGAAAATATGCAAGTATTAAAAGATAATTTAGCAGACCAAAACATTGAATTAATTTCTGTAGATGGAACGAGATCCATGAATAAAGTATGTAAGATTTTACTATCGAATGTGGCAAGTTTGCGTCGTAAGCGTGAAACATGTTTTGAACAAACATTTCTTATCGATTGTGATGTTGCTGAAGTGCTTCTATTGGAAGGGTTTTTTTTCTTAAGCAAATTTAACAGAATGTGCCCTGTCTTTATTTTTGATAATCCCAATGCGATATTTAATCCATATATTGTTCATAAAACTAGTAATAACATCAGAACTGTTATTCATAGATCACATATTTACTTTATTTGCAATGAAGATAGTTTAAAAAAATTCAGGGAAAATCCTTTAAAATATATAGTAAATGAAAGTATAAATTATTTTGTTGAATATCCATTAAGAATAGCAGTTTTAGGACCACCTAAATCAGGAAAGAGTGAATTAACAGCTAAACTTGCAAGAAAATACGGGTTACTGTGCGTATCTAAGGGAATAGCTTTGCGGCACATTTTAAATAATCTATCTTGGACAGATCTAGGTTTAAAAATTGCATCGAAAGTTGAAAAAGGGGAATGCGTAAGCAATGATATTATTATATTAGCAGTTCAAACCATTATAAATAATCACTGTACTAATTCGCGAGGATTTATTTTAGATGGTTTACCTACCTCGCCTTTCGAAGCTATGGAGCTTCAAAAAGTAGGACTATTTCCTTTGATTATATTCGACTTACATATTGACAGAGAATTAAGCTTAAAAAACTTACAGAATGAAATTTACACACATATACTAAAAAGGAAGCCGCCATACTCACGCACGTTTTTATCATATAGATTGTTGAAATACAGTGAAAAATGTGCCCGGATTAGAGATTTTGTAAATAACGATACTCAGAATATTTCCATTATAAACGAAGGGAAATCACTCTGGAAGTGTTTCTTTGACGCGGACACTAAAATTAAAGACATTAGTCCCAAAATTCATTACTATTTACTACATTTCCAATCAAGGATAATTCCTATGGAATCTATGTGCATCTCCAACAATGATTTTGAATCAAAAATGTCAGAATTTAAACACTTTTGTCCTGCTTGTCTCCGCGAAAATATTTTTAAGTATAGTGGATATTCAATCGATAAAAAAGGCGTTGTACAATTTAAGGGACGCTTTTACTGGGTTTGCTGTGAACATATGAATTTAGTATTAAAATATCCAGATAGATTTTTGGAAGAAAATTTAGATATCCCAGAAGTACCCGCTATTGTTAAAACAATTAATAAATTTAATCTGTATGAAGACGGCATCTGCATAGTAACATATGCTGAAAGTTTGCCAGCACACAGAGTAGAAAGAGGCAACGAAGATTATGCTGTGGTATATAAGGGAAAAACTTACTTATTTTGCAGCTCCATTTGTTTTGCGAAATTTTTAGCTAAACCACAAATGTACTATGACATATCCGTTTTTAAAGAAGGAAAAGTTTTACCTTGGTTAGTCTTGAAAAAACTTCCTCACTTAGGATATTTGGAACAAACTGTCGGCAACATAATAACAGAAGCTTGTTGTTCCGTTAATGTTGCAAGACCAAAGTACCCAGGATTAAGTATTCAGATATCAGCGCTGTTATATATAGCATTATACTTAAAAATTCATAATCCTCTAAGTAAAAATTCTTATTTACCTTTATACACGAAAGCTATTCAATCATTTGAAGCTAGATGTAAACTAATCACAGAAACATGTTCACGATTAAGATCTGTTGACAATCCTTTTGCAAATTATCCAAAATGCTGTAACAGAAGCGTTTTTATAGAGCAAGCAGATTCTGGAACTGTAATAAAACCCTCAAGTTTTATTAAAAGTTTTTCAAACTCATCTTTTGATAGCGTGTGATTTTTTTATAAATATCTTGTCATTATATTATAATTATAATTAAAATAATTTTTTCTATTTATAACATTGTGTCTTACTTTGAACACGAAAGCTAGCTAGCTTTTATTTACTTTTAAGCATTTATCGAAAATGTTCTATTAACCTTCTATTAACCTCTCGCTCGCACACTGCCGTTATCTATACTCACACCTACCGGTAAAAACAGCAAAATTTTTTGTGATATGTGTTTTCCGGTACGTTCTATAGCTACAGTCTAACTTCTCAATGAACCAATGATAATAAATTCCCTAAAACTAAATCAAGGATAATTATAATAAATTCAATAAATTCCCTTAAAGTACCAAAAAAAATCAGTCTGGTTTTGCTAATTTGTAAGCTACGACGCGTTCTGAGAGTTTTCCTCGTACCTAATTATTGTTGATTTTGTTTGTTAATATTTTTGTATAAAGAAATGCCATTGAGACAGGAATAACTATTTTAAAAAATTTCGTTTGTTTGTCTGTCAGAGCTAATCTTCGAAGAGGTGAACTGATTGTAACAAAATTTCACAAACAAATACGGAGCACCAGCAGTGGCCTAGACTAAATTTTATCGATAGAGATTTTATTAAAATAGAAGTATTGATGAGATTTAATGATTATCTTTAGTCTGAATAGCGCCACATTAATAGATGCCACCCAGGAGAAGCCAGAGCGGGTCACTAGTGACAGTATACGAGGGCGGCACTGAAAATTTCAGGAATCAAGGAAGTGACACAACATTACTATTTAAAAATGTATTTATTGCTTTTCGAAATATTCTCCGCGAAATTTGTCACATTTTTCCATACGATGGAACCAATCATTGAAGCAACCATTCCATTCGGAAGTTGGGGTCTCCAAAGTGGCCGTTTTGTAGGCGTCCACAGCTTCTTCAGGTGATGAAAATCTCGTGTACGTGCTGACAAGCTCGCACGGGAGTACACAGTTATGACCCGAGCCATTTTGTGGAATTTCGGAAAGCCTGGCCTGGTCTGGCAAAAAGCCAATTGACCCTTGAAACTCTATCACAATAAATCATTTAAGATCTGATCTGATACAGGCTTAAAACTCTATGGTATTACTTTATTGGTTTCAATATAAAATAAAACAACAGTTATATATTTTTTTGAAATCTAACAGTGTATTTTTGTTTCAGCAAGTAGGGTACCAGTTCCGGATGAAAGGTTCGACTACCTATGCGAATTTCACAAACCAGTTAGGTGGGTATTATTAAGTATTTACGTCCTGTGTTAGAAAATGCATAGTTAGTTTGAGAACTTGAAACACACTTTTTAATATTAGGGTTGACGAAAAGAGCCAACGTCTGTCTGCTCATGAGTGTCACTAAGCAACATCAGTATTAAATGTAAGGCCTTATAGCCCCAGTTCTCTTAAATTTCTCATAGCCCTAGTTCTCTTAAATCTGCAAATTAGCGCAAGAAATAGCGTGGTACAAAAGCTATATTTGCTGGCTGAATTCTTTCATATAGAAAGACATAAGTTTTTATAGTTAGTTTTTATTTCAAAAATGCTAGCATGTGCCATTCTATACGATTACAATATGGATGTCTTCAAGGTCAATAAGGCAAATAAGCGGTTCACTATCTTCGGCTGCATCACTACATAATATATGGTAGTAGTCAAGCGCAGGCTTGGAATAGTAAAAGAAATCGGTCTGGAGGACAATATAACGGGATAAGCCCATGTCGTTCTGAAGACTTGTTGGCTGAGGAAAAAAAGAAAAAGCAATACTTAATTCATATGTTTGAATACCGTAACATACACATTTTATATGTTATTTTCAATAATAATCATTGAACATTCTTGTTTTTCAGCAAGGTACCGGCTTTTTTAAACGTGGTGGATATTGCGGGCCTAGTGCGAGGCGCGGCTGAAGGGCAGGGCCTTGGCAACGCTTTCTTGTCGCACATAAAAGCTTGTGACGCCATTTTTAATTTGTGTCGTAAGTTATATTTTCGTTTCCTCGGTTTAAATAAGGCAATATACATAATACATTAAATTATGGCAATAATATGGCAAAGATTTTTAACTTCCTGCTAAGAAAATTGAAATTTTCAAAAATAGGGAAGTTATTGGTTTCACTCTGATTTTCGAAAATCGAGTTTTCATCAGATCTCGACGTTTTGAGATCCCAGGAAGCTATTCTAATTTCATGTGGACGAACGTACGGATGTATGTGTGTGTTTGTGTGTGTGTGTGCGCGTGTGTGTGTGTGTGTGTGTGTGTGTGTGTGTGTGTGTGTGTGTGTGTGGGTTTGTGTGCGTGCGTGCGTGCGTGCGTGCGTGCGTGCGTGCGTGCGTGCGTGCGTGCGTGCGCGTGCCCATGCGTGCGCATGCGTGCGCGTGCGCGCGCGCGTGTGTGTGTGTGTGTGCGTGTAAACCTTTCATAACTTTTGAACGTCTTGATCACTTGAGATGTGATTTACGTTGTTCTAAAGATCTCAATGTGGAATAGATTTGATGTAATATGAACTGATTCGGACGAGTAGATTTTGAGAAATATCAAAAAAAATTTTTTGAAAAACTGTTTTTTTTTTTAATAACTTTTAAACGGCTATATCGATCGATTTTAAAAACTAATCAGCTCTTAACCTCAAAAATGACATCAAATGCCGTTTGGAAAATAAAAATCGGTTCATTCGTTCGTGAGATATCGAAATAGAAAGAATTAAAAAAAAAAGGTTTTTTTTTACATAACTTCGAGATTTCACAACATAATTTGGTGAAATTTGGGGTGCTTTGCATTATAAATTAGCGGGAAGTTCCAGGGGATGGCCTGGGTCAACCAATTTTTTAAATCTCATCTTAAGATAGAGCTTAGTTATCAAAATACCTGACCACTGAAGTTTATTTTGCTGCCGGCACTAGACCCTAAAACGAATCCACAAATATGCATTAGTATAATGGTTCACGTGTTCAAGACTGCAATAGAATCTTCACCCTATTTAACGCTCAATTAACTAAGAACATCGGCGCATAAGCGGCCTCACCCACATTAATCCTACCTACTTATCCGACCTACGCATTTACGTGCTTTCCGAGACACGGAGGTTAAATACTACTAGTTTCCTGATCTCGAGCTGCTACTATTTTTTTTTATTTAAAGTTACTAGATTTAGGCGCGATAAGAGATTCGTACCCAGGACCCCATGACCAGTAGTCTCGCTTCATTTCACATTAAATCTGGTAATAATAAAGCTAAAATAGCCTTACTCGGTTAGGTTCACAAGATTCATAATCGAGCTACGATATTTTAAAAGCATTTCCCAGGTTGAATGAGTTAGAATGGCTAGAAAATTTTAAATAATTACGATGACTAAATATTTATATGTATTTTTCATGCATGTTAAAAATAGCATTACAACTTGCTCTTGTTTTTTTAACTTTAATGATTTTTTTTTGAAAAAAAAAACGTGGCATGGTTTTAAAAAAATATATTATAGGAGCGTTCGACGACGAAGATGTCATCCACGTGGATGGCGATGTGAACCCTGTACGTGATCTCGAGACTATTGGCGAAGAGCTGAGGCTAAAGGATGAGGAACAGCTCATGCAGAACATCGAAAAACTCGAACGCGTTGTCAACCGTGGCGGCGACAAAAAACTGAAACCTGAATACGTAAGTAATATCCTGATGATATCTTAAACATTTAACCCAAAACTTAACTTTGAGCATTTTTTAAACGTATTATTTAAGGCTATTATATCTAAATACAAACATTGAAAAATTATAACAAAGTAGTTATTGTATTGATCGCCCCCATCTCTTTACTTGGAAGTCTTAAGGTTTGACTTATTGAATAGCAGAAGACGAAAGGTGACCGTATAGCTATCTCGTTCATAACAGATTTGAAATTTTCAAACCGGCGGCGGGAAACGTTTACAAAGGGACGGGAAGTCTTCTTTTACCTGTCAAGTAGTAAGAACTAATTTTTTTTTAAATGTGTAAGGTAAAACAAAATGTGTGTGATAGTGATAGGTGAATGAACATGCCTATGACATAGATATTATTCAAATTTAATTATTTTCATTGCCATCTTATGAAGTTGATAGAGGAGAAACAGACTGATCAAACATACGCTATATGTGCCACGTACATAATACGTTCATACAAATCATACAATGTTTATTCTACACATTTAATATTATAAATAAATTCGTATCGCTTCACTAAATCGATGAGATAGTCATCTTAAATTTTGACAACAAAACAACGCGTGCTCTATTTGTTTATGACGTGCTACGCGTCTATCGAGTGTCGGGCGTTATCGTAAGCGTGAGATGGCGTACGAACATCTCCTCCATGTTCCCACGCCGCTCTAGACATCGCAGATCGACGTTGCGTCGGACGCGTGTGACGCAATCACTTTTTTTAAAACTATACATTAGAAACACACTTATTGCATACGATAAGTGTGTTTCCAATTTATAGGTTTTCACATAAAATCAAGAGTCCAGATGTCTAATGCGTTGCATACGTTGCATACACAGAATCAGTCTGTCCAACCTATACATGCGCGGTTAAGCGGGACAATAAGGTTTTGTCCGTTTTTGAACACGCTTCGAATAGTGGCACCTGTAGTTCCCCCCCCCCCGCCAGTCTCTTAAAGCAATTATTAAATTATGAGAAAATAATTGTTATAAGTTTTTTTTTAAAGTTTAATCATATTTATACAATATTTATTTATTCTAAAAATCTTTATCGCCCAGAAAGAGTGAAATTGTTAATGGATCTTTCTTGAAATAGTATATGCTCGGAAAAAAATATGCGCTTACATGAAATCATAGACTTATTTATACTACTGCGTATAGACCAGGTCATTGAACAATCAAAATGGCACCAACTCATTGGTGCTAAAATGTTTATGAGCACCAACGCGACCACCAATGCGTGCTGTGCGTCCGGGCAGTGTTTCCACTTTTAGATATTATGCACTATTTTAGGGTGATAGATACACCCTAAAATAGTGCATTAATATAGGTAGAGCTTTAGGCGTTTCTTCAAGTTGACAGGGTTTTGGATAATTTGGGGTAAAACCGAACTTCATGTAACCCTGATTTTTATTCCCACCCAATGTATTTTTTTTAAAGATTTATCGAAGGGGATAAGGTCAAAAGAGCTAGAAAAGTGTAGAATGAAAAAGTTTTTCTTTAATAAATAATATAATAAATAGAATAGAATAATGGTATATTTTTACTTAGTTACATATTCGTTATTCATATGAGACTAAGTGTTATTATAATTTGAAAGTAAGAATGTCTTCTTCATTCTTCAATTTATAATTAGTATGTTTATTTTAATGTTCTTATCCTATATCTTTAAACGAGCAATTCTTGTATATATATACAACATGTAACATAATTAACGCACTTTGAGAAGGTAGTTTGTTCAGAATCGTTTACTGAATCGATTCCTATCATTTTTAATATAGGTAATTTTTTATCCCAAAAAATTAATAAAACTACGTATTTTATAGTCACACTAAATCTGTACAGTCAAAACAAACTGAAATGGACCGTAACTTAAGGCAATAAGACTTTTAAGAGTGCAGTTTTATTTGTATTATTACTAATTCTGTCTGTGTATATATATATATATATATATATATATATATATATATATATATATATATATATATATATATATATATATAATCGGAATCTCGGAAACGGCTCCAACGATTTTCATAAAATTTAGTGTCCAGGGAGTTTCAGGGGCAATAAATCGATCTAGCTTAGCTAGGATTTATTTTTATAGGATTTATTGTTATAGTGTTTTCAGGCAATGAAAAACTGCTACAATATAAGAAGGTAAAGTTTTGACACTGTGTTAAGGATCGTAATAGCTCAAGTGGATATCGAGCGGTCGCGAAATCTTAATGCCTTGGTTCGCGTCCTGCCTTCGGTCCGACTTTTTTTCCTTTTTTTTTCAAGTTCCCTTCTTTTGTGAGAAAATGTATTATTTCGAACCCTTTTTTTTTTTAGTTTTTTTTTTTATAAATACGAAAATTTTAATTAAACTAATTGCACTCATGATTTTTTATTCAAATAACCAGTTCAGTTTATTCTATTATGTCAATAAGATAAAAAATATTTTATATATATATATATATATATTCAGCAGGGATGGGAGATATGATAAGGATATTGAACGACGAGTGAATGCAGGAAATAAAGTAAATGGGGCTCTACACTCTATTGTGAAAAGTCAGAATGTGTCAAAAAAGGCACGTATGGCAATTCACAGTGCTGTATTAGTCCCTAATTTAACGTATGGTAGTGAAAGTTGGGTGTGGCAGAAGAAGCACGAGAGTAGAATAAATGCAGTAGAAATGCGGTCGCTAAGGAGTATGTTAGGGCTGACAGGCAGGGTGACAGGGTGAGAAACTGTGTGATAAAATAGGTATATGGATGTGGAAGAGGCGAGAAAGGTATGTCAGGATCGTGCTAAATGGAAGTCTGTAGTCTCTGCCTACCCCTCTGGGTGACAGGCGTGAGTGTTTATGTATTATGTATTTATATATGTAATAACCAGAATCGCATGGGATTTTTTCCGTATGCAATTTTGTGCATACATAATGAAAATTATACGCTCGATTTTTTTTTATAGGATAGGGTGACAAACCAGTACACAGTTCACCTGATGGTAAGTGATTGCTATGGCCCATAGACATCTACATCTATCCTCGACTACGAATCAAAATGCAGATGCGTTGTCACCCGTGAGGACTAAGATGGAATGCCTCGTTTCCAGTAAAAAGGATCTCCGATTCTCTACACTCACTATACGAAAAACAGCAGCATTAAGATACTATTTGACGCTGGCATTATATTATGGATAACATAATTATTATTAAAAAAATCAACAACGCAAAGTTAATATGTTATTATCATAATTGTTTTCGGATTGTAGGATGCGCTATTGAAAATCAAGTCTGTATTAGTGGATGAAAAGAAACATATTCGTTTTGGAGATTGGAGCGCTGCGGAGGTCAGTACTGTGATTACTAAAACAATTTGGTTATTTTATAGTAGTTTTAGTTTATTTGTATTTACTTTAAATTGATCCCTTAGAGTTTTCGTTTCACAGTAAGCAAGAAACGTGAATACTGGCACCGTTCAAATTATTAATTATATATAGATTTGATCGACATTATACGACGACGTTATGACGAAACTCACGTTCTTAGAAATAATTACTTTAAATTAAAAAAAAATCTACTTTTTTGCACTAATTAGTCCTAAAGTCTTGTTTTTTTTTAGTTTTATAAATATAATGGTAAGTTTAGGTGAAACATTAAAATATATTTTTCAGATAGAAGTACTCAACAAGTATTTATTCCTGACGTCCAAACCGGCACTGTATCTTGTCAATCTTTCCGAAAAGGATTACATCCGAAAAAAGAATAAATGGTTTGTTTAAACTCTTTATAATGATAGTAATTTGAAATAAGATTTTTTTTAAATAAACCAGTAAAATCATTTTTACCATTTTGTAAGGTTACCAAAACTAAAGGAATGGATTGACAAGAATGATCCAGGAGCACCGCTCATACCGTTTTCTGGTGTTTTAGAAAGTAAATTGATGGACATGGACCCAGCAGAGAAACAAGCCTATTTAAAAGAACATAATATCACGAGGTAAGTTGCTGTAAGTGTTTAAAGATAATAAATAATTCATCGGTGGTCTTCGTAATCGAGCATATATGTAGATGTCTATGGGCACAGCAACCACTTACAATCAGGAGGACTGTGTGCTCATTTGTCACCCTTCTAAAAATATGTATTTATTTTTTATATTACGTATATATTTATGTCGTGTGTATTTTTCAAAAACCTATGTACACACTTTCTCACAGGTCATTATATATGATGTAGAGATCGCTTCTAAGCGATAAGACCGCCAGTACCTATAAATAATTTGTTGTTTTTTCTCTCTCATGTTTTTCTGGTGTGCAATAAAGTATATTTCATTCATTCATTCATATTCTTCGAATAAAATTGTTTTGCATTACTTTTCACTTGCAGTGTTCCTTAGTCCTAATCTATCATGCATATAAATAAAATTGAAATATTTGTCTATAATATCAAAATAAGTCTTTTATCGAGCTCAGGATGTTATGTCCATGCAATTAAGACACAAATAGCCATTTGTGAATTTTTGTATTTGTCTGTCTGTCTGAACATCTGGATCTTGGTGGATTTTTTGGATCTTAGGAATGGTTGAACCAATTGTGATGGAACTTCACAAACAGATAGAGAGTGATGCCAGAAGTGAATTAGGTTATATTTCATCCAAAAAACTTGGGAGGTTTTTTTGAGAAATCGAAAAATTTATAAAATAATTGCTCATTGATGACTACTTTTAAAGTCTAAATGACACCACTTTAATAATTTCCAACGAGGAGAAGTCGAGGCAGAGGTCGCTAGTATAAAATATGGTAATATGATTGGCGACTTATAATCTGTGACTTATATATATATACTGTTCCGTGCACTGGTAAAAATGAATAAATGGTTTGTGGGGGGGGGGTGTATCTCTTTTGTGGGGGGGGGGGGAACGGCGGGTCTTTTTAATAAAAAAAACCAACCTTTTTTTTTTATGTGTGTGGTGTGTCCGTGGGGGGGAAAAGTTATTTTTTTTTTTTTTTTTTTTTTTTATTTTTTTTTTTTCCCTTCTTTTTTTTCCTTTCTTTTTTGTGTGGTTTGGGTTGTGTGGCTACTTTTTTTTGGGCACTGGCTTATCGTTGTAAGACGATTCAAAGGAAGGTCTATTATTTTTTCAGGTTTCATATTGATCATTCCGCAATAACTTTGCACAAGCGTACTCACACGATTTAAAATAACCTTTTACGTAAATCTGAAGAATTATGAAGTTACCTATATTTCATTACATCGTGTATAGTTTTTGATCATTAATTTAAATTCGAATCTTTTAAACAAAGCAAAATGTTAAAAAAATAGCCAGTATCAACTTTTTTTACTTGACGTCGTTTCAATGATATGTCGCTATGTGCCTTACCATAGTGTTTGGATGATTAAAATTCATGTTCATGCGAATAATCGGCAAAAATATTCAAATAATCGGTGAAAATATTCAAATAATGGAATTATTATTTTTTTTAATGTATTATTTGTTTAATTAAATTTTTATTTTTTGTTATTCTTTAAATTAGATAAATCATGAATAAAACAAGTTTATTTATTTTTTAATTTGACAACTTACATTTGTGTAAGAAAAAAATTCATATACAAGGCCGCGCTGAAAAAACCACTACGTAAGTTCAATCTCCTGCCATTTCGGGAGTTACTGTGCGTAATTTTGTGATTTTGTGTTTGTCTTCTTATTTTGTGACTCGGTTTTAACTTCTTTATTTGTTGAAGCATGTGTCCATGTCACAAAGGGTGATTGAGTAAAAGTGGTAAAAAAAATATATTATGGATGACTTTGAAAGAGACCTTAATTTTGACTTCATTGTTGAAAATCAAATAATAATTGTAGTCATCCAAATCTAAGAAATACCTTTTGATAGCTGTCAAACTTACTGCACCAAGCATACCAACCAAAAAGGGAACGTACAATATTCGATTCTTGAAATAATCGATATCGATTGTTTAGAGTTTGCAGTTTGGTTTGAATAATACCAGAATTAATTAAAAACGGATAATTTAAAACACAAGATTTATCAGTTTCTTTGTATTTCTTGTTACTGCTTATTTCAAGAGGCGCAGTTATTAAAATTTGAGATTAAAACTAGATTAAAAATAAATTTATTCAATCACTTACAGTACAACTAGTAGAGATGTCGTTGTTTATATTAATTATAATTTGATTTTAAAAAATGCAGTCAAAATTATTGTCTCTTTCAAAGCTATCCATAATTTGTTTTGTTTTTCTACCACTTTTCCCAATCATCTTTTGTGACGTGGGCACATGCTTCAACTAATATAGAAGAAACAGTCCAAAAAGTTAAAGCCGAGACACAAGATAAGAACACATACACAGAATTACACACAGTAAGCTCTCGAAACAGAAACAGAAACTTTTTTATTCAATATAGATTGTGAATAATACTTATTGAAAGTCACTTTTTTCGTTTACCACTAGTTCGCAAAAAAAAACCTCTGTCCTGGGAAGAACCAGCAAGAAACCCAACGGGACTAGTTTAAAAAAAAGCTTACAATCATGCATGTTATAATTTACAACACAAAACAAATTAGATAATAGCTTGGTAGCGAATTATAAATTAAAAATTAAAATATTGAATATTTTGCCATTATTCGCATAATAATGAATTTTAATCACAAACACTACGGTAATATATATAGCGACATATCATTGAAACGACGTTATTGTAAAAAAAAATAATGCTGGTAATTTTTTAATATTTTGCTTAGTGATATAAAACTATACACGTTGTAATGAAATATAGATAACTTCAAAATTCTTCGGATTTACGTAAAAGGTTATATTAAATCGTGTGAGTACGCTTGTGTAAAGTTATTGCGGAATGATTAATGTGAAACGTCAAAACGTATTTCTTAGATTTGGTGGACTATAATCTAAACAACGACAGCTCAACTAGTTGTATTGTAAGTGATTGAATACATTTATTTTTAATCTAGTCTCAATCTTAAATTTTTGTTACTATGCCTCTAGAAATAAGCAGTAACAAAAAATAAGAAGAAACTGATAAACCTTGTGTTTTAAATTATCCGTTTTCAATTTATTCAGGTATTATTCAAACCAAACTGTAAATAGTTACAACTCTAAATAATCGATATCGATTTTTTTTTAAGAATCGAATATTTTACATTCCCATTTTTTGGTCGGCGTGCTTGGTGCAATAACTCTGATAGCTGTCATAATGTATTTCTTAGATTTGGTTGACTATAAATATACCCAAAGTTTTTTATAATAATATCGTGATTTCTTTTAATATAATACTAATTTTACGGATTTTGTCGCATATTTTTAATTCACGAAGTTTATGTCCTTCCTTCCGTGACATGAGTTTTGGTTTTTACTTTCAACATAGAAAAAATATTTTTTATAGTATTGGTGACAAATGAGCACACAGTTCACCTGATGGTAAGTGGATGCTGTGCCCCATAGACATTCACATTTATCCTCAATTAAGAATCAAAATGCAAATGCGTTGTCACCCTTGAGGACTAAGATGGAATGCCTTAATTCCAGTAAAAAGGGTCTCTGTATCTCTACATTCACCATACGAAACATTATTTTACGCTGGTATTCTGTGAGAGCGTGGTCCTGCCCCGGTCGATCCGACCCATTTATGCTAAAACTATAATATAGCTGCAGCATGCCTCTACCACGTAAAACAAAACGGAAAAAAAAACTCCAAATGTTGGTAATAAAAAGAAATCATAAGCGATAAAACTATCATTGTTCAACATGACATCATATTATAATTTCAGCGCATTAGACAAAATCATTGTTCAAGGCTACAAGGCTCTGCAGCTGGAATACTTCTTCACTGCTGGTCCAGACGAAGTCAAAGCTTGGACGATACAGGTATTTGCTTCATTCACATAGTCATAACTGTAAATATTTATAAGAAACCGAAGTTTTCGTCAGTTATCATCATCATTATCATCGCATACCACCACAAGTCTACGGATGACCTTCCCGTAACAGCTAACGCTAGAACGGTCCTAAATACTTAGCTCCCTCAGTTGCAATTTCCAGTCTCATTAGGTAATCATTCCATTTAACTAACTAAATGTTAATTTTCTGTCCGCTATTTTAAAAGTGGTTTTTCATTTATTTTGACGAGGTGGTGAAACCTTTTCTGTCTAGAAGTCCGTCTGGATAGAGGTATCAGCCTACTGCGTCGCCCTAGTACCTTTGCCTACCGCCAAATAGCAGTGCTTCCACTGCTGTGTTCAAGCTAAGAGGGTATAAAAAGCCAGTATAATAATTGTATGCTGTGAGGCATTCCATCTTTGTCCTCAGAGATGTTAAGTGACAACACATCTGAAGCCTTCTTTATATGAAGAGTTGGCTACATGTGTCCATGGATAATTTAATTAGCAGACCCAAAATCGCCGACAACTCCTTATTTGTCATGATTTCTACGAATGCAGCTTTTAATGACGCTGTGGCGGCGCTGTAGTTGCGCCGCAAGCGAAACACACCGAAGCCTAAATCACGCTATCAAAATTCCGAATCATAAACAGTATATAATATAGAACATCTCCGAACTATCACACGGAGTGTTGGCCGCTCCCCGGGCAGAACACCTTGCCCGGCGGAAGATCTCCCCTTTTCCTTCCACGGCCACAACGCCTTGATTAAATTAAACAAATGCTGATAACTTTTAGATCTGAAAACGTAGGTGTTTTAAAAGGTAAAAATGTTACCCCAAGGTCATATTTACACAATACAGATTTATTTGTTTGTTCATATCGCACTTATTAAGTGCTAATTTACCACATGCCTTGTGTATAAAGCCGTGGTAGCTCAGATAGTTAGCGCTCGCTGTAAATTTCACAGTATGCGAGCAACTCTGGTTCAAAACCTGCATGTCTGAGAAATAAGAAAAAATTTTTTCGAAGATATGTGAAATTCGCCAATACGCGTTGGGGAAGCGCGGTGGACACTTCCTTGCCCTAAAACCCCCTCAGAAATGAGAGGAGGCCTGCGCCCAGCAGTGAGACGTATATGGGCTGTAATTTTAACTTTTTTAAAATAAACTGGTATATAAATACATTTTGAGGAAACGGGCTTGTCTAAGAAATAATATATTTCAAGGAGATGTGAAGTCCGCCAACACGTACTGGAGTATCGCGGCAGACTGCGATGTTAGACGTATGTTAGAAATTATTATATAGATTCATCGTAGTATATCTCACTAATAAATTGAAATTTTTACAATGGTTGAGAGGTAGGATGTTAGACGTATGTTAGAAATTATTATATAGATTCATCATAGTGCATCTCACTAATAAATTGAAATTATTAAAATAATTGACAATTAAAAAATAATTACAAATAATATTTACATTATTCTTAATTTTTAAATTAAAAAATACACTAATAACGTGTTGCAAAACTGTATAATATAAGCAAGTATAAATAGTAATTATTATTATTCTTTACTTTTCAGAAAGGCACAAAAGCTCCTCAAGCTGCTGGTAGAATTCACACGGACTTTGAGAAGGGTTTTATTATGGCTGAAGTGATGCATTTTAAAGATTTCAAGGAAGAAGGTACCGAAGCTGCTTGTAAAGCCGCCGGCAAATATAGACAACAAGGTACGTATTAAAATATATGTTGAGGATGGTTAAAAAAGTAAAGTTATTATAATCTTACATAAAGTGAAAAAAAATTAAAGACGTAAAAAGAATATAATATAAATCGGCATAGCAACACGCTTAGCCAATAGAAAGAACTGTTTTTTTTTTTATTTTTTTTTATGTTATAGAATAAGGATGATAAACGAGCACACACAGTCTGCCTGGTGGTACGTGGATGCTGAGGCCCATAGACACCAACATCTATCTTCAAAATGCGTTGTCACCCTTGAGGACTAAGATGGAATGCCTCGTACCCAGTAAAAAGGTTCTCTACACTCACCATAGAACAGTATTAGTTGGTACTCTGTATTCTGAGGTATCTCTTTTTCGAAAGTTTTCACTACGAGTTGCATCTTTTCGAATATATTATTTAATTTAAGTTTGATTATTTCGATATTTCAGGACGAAATTACGTCGTGGAAGATGGTGACATAATATTTTTCAAGTTCAACGCTGGCGCTGGGCTAAAGGACGCTAAGAAGAAATGACGCAACAAAGTGCTTCTGCTTCTCGTTCACATGTTGTACCTTAACCTCGTACTTTATACTCTTATGCACGTCGCCGACGACTAGGATTCGAACTCTATTATTTATAAAAATTTCATAAAATAAACAACTTAATAACGAGTGAAAACGGCTTTGTTGATGTTAATATTATTTAATAAGTAATAATAAATCCTTTTTGTAAATTGATTAAAGTGAATCTGCGTTTTATTGAATTTTTATTTTCTGCTTATATTATCTCTACCAACTCTTCCGTGCGGACAATTTTATTTTCTTTGTCCTCTGAGTCTTCAATATTCCCAACATATTCTTCTTCAAATACTTTTTCTAAAATGATTCGCAATTGCTTCAAAAATCTTTTCATATTAATGTGAGATAATATCTCTTGTTCCATCACGGGTGCTAATTTTTCCTTATCTTTGTCTGTCTTATTCAAAATTTTTATAGATACGTAGCCAGATGATTGGGTCACTACTTCTTCCCATTCCTGCAACAAGCGTTTTACATTAGAAGACACCGTTGATTTTCGTTAACTTATTGTCCATCTTACCTCTTGACCTCTTTATATGATAAATGGTACATTTCGATCTGTCCTTGTGAGACACTATAAAGATAACTCATGTTAACCTACCTATTCGGTAAAACCGGGTTAATGAAAAATCTATAACCACAGCTTAAAGACCTTACAGGGAAACTAATGTACTTGTGCAGAGCAACGGTGAGGGTACTGCGGGGCAGAGGGCGGGCCGACCTTGTACTAGCGCAATTCACCGAGTCTGATAGACAATACATGCGGTTGGCACGAGCGTGTTTTATAGTAAGGTGGGTGTACCATGGGAGGTCATGCTAACAAACAGTTATTATTTGTTTATTTACTGGATAAATGAAACTAACAAATGTTTTAGTAATACTTTGTTTTATTACATAACAAATAAACCACTTTTTTTAAATTGCAGATTTAATCAATATTGATTGAACTTAAGTTTCATTATACTCGTCCAAATGGCCTTGCTAGGAAAAAGGCTTCTTATGAGCCTTGTTCCTAGCAAGGCCCTATAATAACCATTATACTACACTACCATTATAATAAATCAGTCATTTAACACTAAAGTTTAATAAATAGGGACTAAATCAGCAATAAAAAGAAGTGGTTTATATGTTACATAATAAAACATAGTATTACTTAAATATTTGTTAGTTTCATTTATCCAGAAAATAAACGAATAATAACTGTTTATTTGTAGAGTGGCCTTCCATGGTACCCCCACCTTATTTTAACGTCGTTGATTCCCGAAACCAATGAAGCGAGGGACCGTACTGCAAATAAAAATATTTGGCAGTGCTACACTTGCTAAGGGTGTTTTTCTTATAGTAATAAAAATGATCTTGTTCCACAAACGTTTTTAACTTATAAGTACTACTTATAATCTTCTTATCGGAGTCTTGGTCCTATCCACCACAATTCGCCTTCGCTTCGCGTCCCATCTAACACATAACCGAAGCACCCGTTCCCAGTCGCTACAATCAGATGATGATGATTGAAGAGCGTGAAAGTACAGGATTGCGTCAACATTGCGTTTGCGCGGATAACGCTCGCAGATGACCTGCCTGCGATTTTATTGAAGCCCTTGTTATATTTCATTTCTTTTTTGTACAAGTACATCCTACTGTCCATATTGGGACATATATTAAGTGGTAAGGAATAACTTTGTGGTCTAAGTTCAGACACAGAGGTCTCATCTTTTCAGTAAAAGATCAGTTGTTTTATATTTTTTAGATTATTATTATTAGATTTTTATTCATTATTGTTTTTTAGTGATCACACCGAGGTAATTAATAATTATAACTTTTAACAAAAAGTAAAACCCGACTTCAAAGTACTAAAAAAGGAGTAATTTCTTGCCACCCCTAGGGGTAGAATATTTCCTTTAAATTTATATGAGGCCGCAGTTGAAAATAATATAATCTATTTATTAAAAAAATCCTTAAAATCGGGTCACAATTAGTAAATACCTACATACAAAAAACGTACATTCGAATTGTCAACCTCCTCCTGAATTGAAATGGGCTAAATAGAAGGATGTGATAAGTGAGCATACAGTCCTGATGGTTAGTGGATGCTGTGGCCCATAAACATTTACATTTATCCTCAAATAAGAATCAAAATGCAAACGCGTTGTCTGTCACCCCCAAGGACAAATATGGAATGCCTCATTTCCAATAAACAAGGTCTCAGTTTCTGTACACTCACCACATGAAACACTGACACCCAGCACTGAGCTGTTATTTTACGCTGGTATTCTGTGAGATGTGGTTCTACTCAGGTCGAGCCGATGCATTCATGCTACAACCATAAAATAACTGCAGCGTGCCTGCACCACGTGCAAAATGTATTTATCCGCTATAATCATATTTTTTCGCTTACGTCTTTGTAGGTCACAATTTTAGGATCTATGTTAGTTAAATATTCGCATATTTCAATTTTTATTACTTACCTGACAATAATTGTGAAGTGAATCTAATGACAACATTTCTTCAATAAGACTCACTTTAAACGTATCTGTGGAAATATTCCTTAATATACAAACGATAAGGTTGCCAATTGCAGCTAGTGTACAGCCTGCCCTAAAATATTGAACATTATAATGCAATCACTACTACACATTACAACTTTTTTTAAATATATTATAATTGAATTATCCTCTAGCTACCATGGTTCTTGGAAATAAATACTGTGTATATAAAAATGAAATATAATTTACCAACAGGTGGTATGTAAGGTCGTTGGTCACACCAATTTGTTTGCTTTTAAAATATTCGCCGCTGCTCACTATATACTCCTATTAGGTAGCTATCTACGGAATGACTCTTGTCCTCCATCCTCATCTGGACATTTATTGTTAATATTTGTTGTTTTTCACCCTGTCATCGTAGGGTTTAAAATAAATTTCTGGTTCTCATCTTGCGGAAAATTATCGACAATGAGTATCCTATATAATAATATTAGTAGGTCTATGAGCACGAATAAACTTTTTAGCAATTATAATAAATCATTTATTTTTATAAGATAATAATTTATTATAACAACAATAATGTTTTCCTAACCGATTTTCGAACAAGGAGGTTAGAATTGAGTTATACAACACTAGAGGAGGAAACCACATTACCGCGCGTCGAAAAAAGTGTAACCACTATCAAAACGCGACGACGTAGCTTTGAAACTAACAAGTTGCGAAAACAATATTTTCGCTAAGATTAGATAAAGATAGATACACAAACATGCAATGGCGGGTTGGTGTGGCTTACTAAGTATATGAAATTTTACCTAAAATACGCAATAAAAATTAGTTTTTTTAAGCTGCAGTTAATTTTTTTTATATTAAAAAAGTATATTTTATTTTAAAATCTTTATTGCGTCACTTTAGAAGAAAAGGATACAAAGCTTATCAGATTAATGGAGGTAAACATAATGATGAAGTAAAACCAATTTTACAAGCATTTTTATTGCACTAATAAATCAAACAATTTTAAATAGGTATCTAATAAAATATAATTAATATAAAATTTATATGAAATTATAATTAATATAAAATTATTAATATAAAATAGGTAATAAAATATGTATTATATATATTAATAGAAGGCTAACGGCAGGGCCCCAGGTGAGGATGGAATTACAGCGGAGCTTCTGAAAGCGGGTGGAACACCGGTACTTGAAGTCCTTCAGAAGCTCTTCAATTCCGTCCTCCATGGTGGCACTACTCCGGAGGCGTGGAGCAGAAGTGCGGTGGTCTTGTTCTTTAAGAAAGGCGACAACGCTCTCTTGAAGAACTACAGACCGATTTCCCTTCTGAGCCGCGTCTACGTGCTGTTTTCGAGAGTCATTACGAATCGTCTCGCTCGCAGACTCGACGACTTCCAGCCTCGCGAACAAGCCGGTTTCCGAAAAGGCTTCAGTACCTGGCCGTATGAGGACGCTCAAGGTCGCTCAGCGAGCTATGGAGAGGGCTATGCTTGGAGTTTCTCTGCGTGATAGACTCAGAAATGAGGATATCCGCAGTAGAACCAGAGTGACCGACATAGCCGAACGGATTAGTAATCTGAAGTGGCAATGGGCCGGCCATATAGCTCGAAGAACCGATAACGGATGGGGAAGAAAGGTTCTCGAGTGGCAGCCTCGTACCGGTAGGCGTAGTGTAGGGCGACCCCCCACTAGATGGAGTGACGACCTGGTAAGACATGCAGGAAGTCGATGGATGCAGGTGGCTCAGGACCGTGCTTTGTGGCGTTGCTTGGGGGAGGCCTATGTTCAGCAGTGGACTTGTGAAGGGCTGTAATGATGATATATTAATAGATAATTCATGAATAAACTAAAATACGACTGACGTTAGCTAGGCATATGGCTGTGGCCATATGTGCAGTGGCAACGCTTTGGCGCGGTTATTACTGATCTAGTGTAATATATAAATCAATGGAGGTTAGTCTCAACGAAGATAAGCCTCGTCTATGGCTATGACCGAAAACATAAGAAAATCCGATGTATTTATAATTCTAACATCAATATTTACCTGCAAACGACGTCCTTACTTTGAATAATTTCTTGAACAATTCTTGTTAGACGCTCATGGGTATCTCTCATTAGAAACTCTAGTGGGTCACAGTCCCCAGGAGGCAGGGAACCATATTGTACTAATAATTTTTTCTGAATAACAGTAAACTGCCTCTGCAACGTATCTAAATCATCCTAACAATACAAAATCATAATGATTTCTTATATTTACGCGAACATTGCACAGATTAAAACTACTTTTACGGATTTTATCGCGTTTATTTTTACTTTTAATTCCCGACGTTTCGGGCGCTTTCCAGCACCCATGGTCACGGGGGACTGAGATGACTGACGTCCCGATGTCATTGTTAAACCCGGAGTACCTTCAGCTTTTTTAATTATTGTTTATGGTCCGATCTATGCAAAATGAACTGACTATGTCCTGAGGTCTTGCAGTGGTATGCTTGGGTTTAGTTTTAATTTTATTGATTATAGGATCCCAAGCAGGTGGTAGTACCCAGCCTCCTTCTCTATTGAAATTAGGATGTTTTTTAATTTCAATAGCCTCACGTATCATCCTTGGTAGGAATCGGTGTTCTTTCGCGAGGATTTGTGGTCTATCAAATCTGATGTAATGGTTGGGGCCGTCTAGGATATGATCACAAACTGCAGACTTCCCGGAACGTTGATGCTTCACATCAGCTATATGTTCTTTTACGCGGGTCCTAATTGATCTTTTGGTTTGTCCTATATAAGAGAGACCACATTCACAATCAAGCTTGTACACTCCTGCATCTTGTAGAGGAATATGACACTTGACGGATGGTAGGAACTGACTAATCTTCTTCGGCGGCTTGTAGAATGTTCTAATAGAAGCTCGCTTCAAGATATAGCCAATCTTGTCCGTGACACCTCTGACATATGGTAGTACAGCAGGCACACGCTCGACTGTGGCCGGCTTCACTCGGTCACTGTGACGTAGGCGCGGGACCCGAAGCTTGTTGTCGTGCAGAACTTGCTTGACGTGCTGAAGCTCCGCCGAAGAAGATTAGTCAGTTCCTACCATCCGTCAAGTGTCATATTCCTCTGCAAGAAGCAGGAGTGTACAAGCTTGATTGTGAATCTGGTCTCTCTTATATAGGACAAACCAAAAGATCAATTAGGACCCGCGTAAAAGAACATATAGCTGATGTAAAGCATCAAAGTTCCGGGAAGTCTGCAGTTTGTGATCATATCCTAGACGGCCCCAACCATTACATCAGATTTGATAGACCACAAATCCTCGCGAAAGAACACCGATTCCTACCAAGGATGATACGTGAGGCTATTGAAATTAAAACCATCCTAATTTCAATAGAGAAGGAGGCTGGGTACTACCACCTGCTTGGGATCCTATAATCAATAAAATTAAAACTAAACCCAAGCATACCACTGCAAGACCTCAGGACATAGTCAGTTCATTTTGCATAGATCGGACCATAAACAATAATTAAAAAAGCTGAAGGTACTCCGGGTTTAACAATGACATCGGGACGTCAGTCATCTCAGTCCCCCGTGACCATGTGTGCTGGAAAGCGCCCGAAACGTCGGGAATTAAAAATAAAAAGTAAAAATAAACGCGATAAAATCCGTAAAAGTAGTTTTAATCAATACAAAATCATTTTAATAAATGCACAAACTCCGTAACATAGTAAAAAGAGCAGAGCACTTGCCTCCAACTTTTTTAATTTAATCCTTTCCTTTGAATGTGTTTCAATGCTTTTTGAGAACCTATGTATCATTTGTAAAATAAAATCCATACTTGGCTTGAGTGTTAATCGTATTGCGATATTTGAGTGCATATAATGTTCGTTTAATTTACATAGGAAATAGACCAATATAGATGAAATTTCAGGGAAATCATTAGATTCAATTGAATACTCTTGCTCTTCACCTTTTAACGTAACTGTGTTCCCTGTTGTTCTATATTTAAATGTTATAGTGTTAGCGACGTTATCAAGTTTTATCAATTGATCAGGCATAAAATCTAAAATTAAAAATTCTTATTGTATAGTACTAGAATATAATAAATAGTTCAATTATTTATCTTTAATTGCATATAATAAGCATATTATCTTTACTCTACCTGTAAAAATGTGTCTAAAGTCTAAACATGTCTCATTTACGTTAATGTTTAATTTGAGTTGGTTATCCCAAATTGTGTCATTGATGGTGCAATAAAGACTTAAGGGTAGCAAAACACTTTTGTAAAGTGTTATTATCTTCCCAGTTTGGTCAACTATAGTAAACAAGATCTTTATTTGGGTGTCCGACAAGTCATGTTCGTTTAAAAGGAAAACACGAGTTTCTATTATTTCTGTTCCATTGATATCGTCGATACATTTAGTTGATTCAGAAAACTCGAATGGCGGACTACAAATATATGTTATTTGTATACTTTGAATCAGTTTAGGATCCTCGCAAGTTATCATTACAATCAAGGGGCAATTTAAAAATTGTAAAACACTGTCTTGAGTAGTTTGTTCAAAAGTGTTCTGAACTGGTTTACCAACGTTTGCTTTTATGACTATAGATTTTTCAACATGTGTAAACTCCGCAGCTACCCCTAAAAAGAAAAAATGAGTATTTAAAAATTACACAACTTGTTATATTACTTAAACATATTACAACGCAAATCGCGAGTAACAACTTTAAAGAAATTATAATTTAAAAATGATTTCCGCGAACGGCTATTGTTGCGTGTCTTCTCTTTTTTAACGGTCTGTGCAATGTTATTGTTGCGCACCTAAGTTGATGTCTGGTACCTGGCACTAGCGCCATCTAGTGTTGTTGTAGCTTTCTAGAAAATTCGAATAGAAGAACTAAGCTTTCTGGAAAAGTCCACTGCACTTTCTGCACTTAGTCCGTCGGGACCGGTATTTGCTGGAACATTCTGGATTTTTCCATTGAAGTGTTAAATGTAAATAATTATTAGTGTGATTTAAGTTTTAATTGGTGATCAGTAATTAAAGTGTCTATTTTGGTAATTCAATCGGCAGTTTTTATTTCCACGAACTCTAAGCTCGTAACAATTGGTGTCAGAAGTGAGATAAAATCGTGCCGACTTTACCTAATAATGAAATGGAGCATTATCAATAAAGCAATATACCTTTATCATCAGCAGCAATCTGTTTTAGCGATTCTTCTATAGTCTCCAATTCAGCTTGAATTTGTTCTGGGTCAACTGGCTCGTTCATGAGATTAACGGTAGGATTTAAATCGGGCTCTGTTCCTAAATAACTAACGGTCAGCACTCCATTAGGTGCAAGACTCACTATACCTCCTGGCAAAGAATTTAGAAAACATCGTGATATTGATAAAGTTTTTGTCATAAGGTCACAAGCCCACAGCAACGTTGTCCCCTCATAAACAAATAACCTTGAGTCATCCGAAACCACCATTACTAGGAGTCGAGCTCCTGGTTCTGCAATTTTAATGAGACTATAATATATAAGTAAATTAGTTTTCTTTGCACTAGCCATAATTACGCTTTGATAATTCATGTATAATAATTACCGTGTAGTGGCGATGTATATATAAATAGAATATACTATCCCATATCATCCTGTGAGTGTCGTAAGAGGCGACAGAGGGAAACAAATCAGGAGATGGGTAGCAGCATCTTCCTAATAACGACTAAAAATAAAATATTGTGATTGCCAACCCGCTTGCCAAGCCGAGGCAACTATGGCAAATATCCCCCATAAGAGGTAATCTATGGGGCTGGCCTATATGTTCGGTCCTGTACATTTGAAATACGCCCAAATTTTAAAATGTTTTCTTTATAAAATCTAATTTTAGTCGTTTGAAAAATTAAATAGCTCAAAACGTTCATTAATAAATTTCCTATCCATTAGTGTCAATCGAAAAATAAAGTTATGCTTACTTTATGAGGAGATTCTATACGTGGTAGAGCCATGCTGCAGTTATATTAGACGTATAGTTGTAGCACGAATGGGTCGGCTCGACCGGGGAAGGACCACGCTCTCACAGAATACCAGCGTGAAATAGTAGTTTAATGCTGCTGTGTTTCGTATGGTGAGTGTAGAGAACCAGAGACCCTTTTTACTGGAAACGAGGCATTCCATCTTAGTCCTCACGGGTGACAACGCATCTGCATTTTGATTCGTAACCGAGGATAGATGTAGATGTCTATGGGCCACAGCAACCACTTACCGTCAGGTGGACTGTGTGCTCGTTTGTCACCCTATCCTATAAAAAAGATGCATGTTATCAATAATTATTTCGCTTTTCTGTGGTTTAGTTGTAGGAAGTTTCATCAAGTATTTACTTCTTTTAGAAAAAAAATTGGAAATGGCTATTATGGAATCAAGATTATAATAGATTTTTTAGTAGAAATATAATAGATTTTTTATTAGTTGATACATCTTTTTGATAACAAGTAGATATAGCTCCTAAAAACCTCACTAGTCATGTCTAGCGCGGCATTTTGCTCAAACACGCACCTTAAAGAAAAACTTAAAGAAATTATGACAAAATGCTTATTTATTCTTTCTATTTATATTCCTTTCTCTGTGTAGTATCCTATATATCCATTCATTACAGCCTTTCACACGTCCACTGCTGAACGTAGGCCTCCCCCAAGGAATGCCACAAAACACGGTCCTAAGCCACCTGCATCCATTGACTTCCTGAATATCTTACCAGGTCATCACTCCATCTAGTGGATCTACACTTCGTTTACCGGTACCTACGACGTTGCCACTCGAGAACCTTTCTTCCCCATTGGTTGTCGGTTCTTCGAGTATAAATATATCTATGTATAAAAGTAAAAATATATTTTTAAACTATTATCTATACGTCTATACGTATACTAACATAAATGTGCTATAAATATAAACAAATAGGGCAACTAGATAATAGTAGAATAATTATATACCTATAAACGTATTTTTTTAGAACCAATCAAATATGAATCAAATGTGATAGGATGGGCGGATATCTTCATTTTAAGTCTATCACGCAGATAAACCCCGAGCATATACCTCTCCACACTGAAGGACCACGTCTCAGATTCATATGTCATCACTGGCAACACGCACTGGTTATATAACCTTGTTTTCAAGTTTTGAGTTAACCCTGACGACATGATGTGTCGTAATCTCGACGGATTCAAAGACTTTCTCATAATCCACATACACGAGACAAAATGGCAGATTGTACAACTCGGCCTTCGGTACAATTCGCCGAAGGGTATGTGTATATGGTCTATGGTACTGAAGCCTTTTCGGAAACCGGCTTTTTCGAGAGGCTGGAAGTCGTAGTCTGGGTGCGGGACGATTTGTAATGAATCTCGAAAACAACACGTAGACCCGTCTCAGAAGCGAAATCGGTCTGTATGATCTTCAACAGATCACTGTCGCCGTTCTTGAAAAACAAGATCACCGCACTTTTGCTCTACGTCCCCGGAATAGTGCCACCATATCGGACGGAATGAAGAGCTTCTGAAAGACTTCAAGAACTGGTTTTCCACCTGCTCTCAGAAGCTCTATGAACCGTGAACCATCATCATCATCATTGCATTAGTCATCAAAACTCCATTACTGAACATAGGCTATCCATGGGGGATAGATTGCCTTAAGAGAACATTTGCCAGCTATTATGCTTGGCAAGAGGGTTGACAACCGCGTTAGGTAATTTTATTTTGTGTTGACATCAGCAAGATGCTGCTGCCTACCTTCTGTTGAATTTCCCTCTGTCGCCTCTTATGACATGCACCGGGTTACCCCATATTATGGGGTAACGAAGAATACACCGCTACCACACGGTTAAATAAATTTCATTCCTTACCGTAGTACCAGCCAATAAGATAGCAATGAAAACAAATTGGCGTATAATCTAATCTAATTAGATGTTTCATAAGTCCGTTGTCCTGAAAAGCGTAGAGATGTCTTTCGCCTAATGCAATGATGCTTGAGAAATTGTTACTTGTCTAAAAAAACAAGATAAAGTTACGATATACAAGTGGTAAGATTATAAACTTTGTACAACCAACTTCAATATAAATAAAATGAGAACACTATCAATGTAGTCGAAGTCAATTAAATAAGTATTATTAAGGATAACTCAAAAACTACTGGTCAGATCTTGATCAAATTTATATGGAACCACATGAGATGTGCCAGTTTTCAAATAAAAAAAGATTCATCAAAATCGGTTCTCCTAGAAAGTAGAGGTAACACACATAAAAAAATACAGTCGAATTGAGAACCTCCTGCTTTTTTAAGTCGGTTGGGAAAAAATCACTAAGTTTAATCGTATTTTCATCTGGAGGCACGGCAGTCCCCCGCCAAGTCGAGCAAAAAAGCGGCATGGCCGTACCATACTTTTCTCGAAGCAATTCAGGATATTTTCAACCAGCTATAACTTCGTTGTGGATACAACTAGAAACCTGAATTTTCATAAACCAAACAGGCATTGTAAAGACACGGTATATTTCAAATTTCATTCAATTTAAACCAGTAGTTTAGGAATCTGGGGGCACGGCAGTGCCCCCGCCAAGTCGAGCAAAAAAGCGGCGCGGCCGTACCTACCATACTTTTCTCGAAGCAATTCAGGTCATTTTCAACCACCTATAACTTCGTTGTGGATACAACTAGAAACCTGAATTTTCATAAACCAAGCAGGCATTGTAAAGACACGGTATATTTCAAATTTCATTCAATTGAAACCAGTAGTTTAGGAATTATAATTAGTCAAAGTATCTTAATTTTGTCACTCACTGACTGACCGATCATCAAAACTTTAAGGCACTTCTAGCAGACATAGAAGCTTCAAACTTAGAACGCAATTAGTATTTAGTGTATAAATCAAGGTAAAACTAAAATACTTTTCAATTTCGGTCCAGTTTTCTAGATACTCTAACTGCATAAATAACTTTGTAATCCCATATAAAAACATATGATTACAAAGTTACATTTGCAGTAAATGAATCAGTGTACCTGTATATATATAATATAATGGAAATAATAGGTGTAGATAAGTACTTTTTTGGCAATCAAGAAGTATAAGGTACCAGAAGGAAAAGAAGTAGGACTATCTGCAAAAATAAATGAGATGCCATCAAAAACATAACTTGTAAAAAAAAACAGGTCTCGCAACTCAGTTCTTCTATCGTAAAAAGTTGTGATCTAATCCACATCTAGTCCATCTAATACCAAGTCGGTCATTTTATTCAGTCCCTACTTAAGGGTCCTTCTGTCTTAAGTTATTACGTAATTAGCTAACATAACAACATCTTATTGTGACCATATCAATATTAAAAATCTTTTATGTTTTAAATAAATAGATTGACTTGGGCCATCGCATGAAAACACAATGTATCTCACAAGTAATACATATTATATTAAATTCGATTGCTTAGTGCGATTGCCAAGTCAATCTATTTATTTAAAACATAAAAGATTATTCGTGTTTGTTATGTTTTTGGTGGCTTTCCTTTTACCCGAATCACTTGAACCGACGAGATTTCTTCTCCAGCATTGTAAGTCCATTGTGGAATATTGTTTTTGTTTTTTCGCAAGCTTAATTCGCTCAACTCTCTCAACTGTTGATAACTAAAATTCAGAAAATGTGTTGATGTACGTCATCTTATTTCTAAACCAAATACTTATTACTTACCACGTTTTTATTAACTCACATTCATTGGGGTCGATTTTAACAATTGATTTTAAAGTAATTTCCAGCTAGAGCCTTAAAATTTTTAACATAGCTGAGAATCGGATGACAATGAAAGAATATGAAGAAAAAAATAAACAAAAGAAGAGAGTTTTATACTTCTTAATCAGTTTTAAAAACGTGGTATGTAAAAAAAATACCGATTGACTTGTTTATTTACCTATATATTTCCAAAGTCCACGTTGATTTACATATTATGAACAAGTCACTACTAGGTACGTAAGATACCGGCCCAGGAATCAAGATGTCGTCGAACATACACATGAATAAAAACGAATCTTGGTCAAAGAAACTTAGAGTGCTGTCCAATGATTGAACGCAAATGAAATCTCGGGATTTCGAACTACCGAAAGGACCACAGGTTAAATTGTATGCTCTTCTTTTAAAATAATGTTTTATTAAAGGTTCCATGTGGTTTTGGTCACCTAAAATTTTTTTTATAATAAGTAGTGTTTGTGAGTCATATAATATTTTATTTTTGAACGAATAAAAAGATATTTAACCAGCATCCGTAAGACCTCCTTTTCTGTGTAGTTCGTAAATAATGTAGCATTGTGGATGTAGAATTATTATTTCTCGGTCTCCAGATGTCCTACGAAAAAAAGGATACAATATCAATTTATCAAATATATGTATAATAACCATTTTGGCTTCTTGTATAGCTTATCTGCTGGGTTCAAATTCCAAGCAAAGCTATATTAAAAGCTATGCCTACTTATTCTAGATAATATGTTTGTACCAGATTTCGATTATAAAAAAATACGACGAAAAGAATACATTTTCTCTAGGAATTGGCAAGTAATATTAAAAATTCTAGTCTTTTTAGTTAGAATTTTAATTCAGGTTTATGTACAAATTTAACACGTTCACTGCGAAACGAGGCTTGAAACACCGTGTCTCGTCGTTATAGCGGTAAGGAAAAACTTAAACTTCTCTGTCGTGCGAGAGGCGTAACTTCCGTTTGCTTCAGTCTAGGAAAGAGATAACTATATATCTGAGATGTGCTATTGATGCCGAGTTTTTTTGGTATATCTACCTTAATACCGGATTATTTGGGCCTCGTACCGCACTGAATAAATTAAAGTTTAAAAGAGTGCGTTACGAGGTTGCGAACACCTCGTACCCCACACACCTCGTACCGCACCCTACGCTAGCTTTACGCGGTTAGTGTTGTGCAAAACGTTGAACGCTGCACCCGCGACGATATAATAAGATGTCGAAACGTTGCCCAAGAAAGTTTATTAATAATATTATTGATGATGAAGAAGAATTGGGTGGTAAATCTAATTCTAAATTAATGATATTTGAAAAACAGGTAAGTTTCCAATCAATATTTACAAATTATACTCAGTCTAAGTGAAATAATTATGTAGGAGTATAACAAACAAATTCAACTGACAAAAGCAAAACACACACAGGCCGTAACGACCCCATACTTATGTATAGAAATGCTCCAATAAATCGCTACACCTAATCAACCCGCTTCAAAAATACACTATCAGTTTTTTTTCAGAACCCGTCCAAACAATCCACATCATCTCGAAAAAGGATCAAAGAAAATGAGATGTGTAGGATGCTACGAAAAACTTCGCACCTTCTTATCAAGTCGTGAGGCTGACAAAAAAGCAAAGAAAATTCTCACAGAATGTATCGGTTGCAAAAAATATTATTGTTTAACATGTTTTAATAAAAAGCATCCATAAGTACAATTAAATAAAATCGATATTTTTTTTCCCATCACTAAAAAATATGAAAAACTGTCCTTTTTCAGTGCGGTATAGGGTACATAAGACCCCACATTTTATTTTGCATATGTAATCTAAACTAAATAATCCGCCCACGGGCGGCGGCAGATTTGGGTTAATCAACTAATTGATAATAATAATCGCGACAAAAAACGTACAATTCGCCTTATTTGGCGCCAAAAAAAAGGATTTTTGTCTTCTGTGGGCGGTGGGGTTTAATAAGCCTCGTGCCGCTACAACCTCTGGTTCAGAACGAGGTTTCAAACGTCTCGTAACGCAGTAATGGAAAGTACAGATAAATTATTGTAAATTAAATATATTTTAAATAAAAACTGCTTTTTTGCAACCTCTGACTGGAGCCCACATAATTGGCGCAGTCGGTAGGTTCTTCTAGAGTAGAGTCAGTGAATCAAGAGTGACAAAGAAGATACAGAACCTACGAGAGTACCAGTCCAGAGGCGAATCCAGGCATTGATTCCGCAATAAGAAGTAATGCTGTAAGTGGTTGAATCTTTCAACCCTTACCCTTCCTAGTTCCATAATTAAAATTTTACTCTATCCTAATTTTATATACATATTTTTATTGCATTTTATTTTATTTTAACTGTGTTAGTTTAAAGCTTCCAAAATTTTCCATCCAAGGAGAACACGGAACGTTAGGTTGGATAGTAGTAGGACTTCTAAGCTTAGCATTATAGACGAAAATAGAGGTTTAGAAACCGATAGTATGGCTCAATTAAATGAGATTGATTTAATTTATAAGTCACTTAGAGTTCTGCCTGAATTTGACGGTAACCCTTAGGTACATCCTTACGCGCTTTATTAATCTGTGCGACCAACTGGTAATAGCTCACGTAAAAAATGAGCCCGGATACGAATTAGTCAATTTATCTCTTATAAACGGAATTTTGAATAAAATAACCGGGCCCGCGGCTAGGCTAATAAATTCAGACGGAATACCCGAAACCTGGGCCGGCATCAAAAGCGCTCTTATAAATAACTTCGCCGACCATCGCGACGAAAATGCATTATACAGCAACTGATCATTACAAACCCAAGGGTCCAGTACCCCTCAAGAATTTTACGAGCGAGTCCAAAGCTTATTTAGTACAATAATGACGTATCATGAAACGATCGGTACGACCATCGAAGCTAAACGCGCACTCTATAAAAAACTGACTTCTAGGGTCTAGAATAAGATGTATGCGATCCGAAAGTATGGAGAGAGCACTTGAATTCGTGCAAGAGGAGTTAAACACCCTCTATCTCCAACAACGAAATGAAAGCGGTCAGAACAGGAAAGAATGGACTCAACCTACTCCTAGCTCCAATTCACCATTAAATAATTTCCTTCCAAAACCTACCTTGTTTAATATGCCATCACTACCTAGACCATAGGGTAATAACACACTGAACTCATTTAGACAGCCACCTATGCAACCGCACGCTGCACAGGGTTGGAGAGTACGCACTTTAGATGACTCTAGGACTATAACGTCTACCGAAGTCGCAGACGATTCCCGAACCATCACCATTCATACAGATAAAGAAAACCCCATCCTCGAAGTTCTGATTTCTGACGAACCGCTAAATAAATTTACTAAGCAGATAATTTTGAATATAGTGAGCTAAGTAAGTAGCTATAGTAAGCATAAAAGCTAGACCAATCATCACTAAGCCATTCGAACACACACACTCGCATTACTATTCAAATAGCTGAATCGAACATAGAAGATGTCGTTAACGCTATTAAAGAATACGTCCATCCAAAAATTAGGATAGGATTACTTATCAATTCAACCTCTGCAATGTACACTGTCATACCAATTATACAAAAGACTTTCAAAAGTTCATCTCTTAACCTTTTTCGAACAAAAAGTGAATTGGAAAACGTTAGGGAATATCTAAGACAGCAAGAAATCATTCATAAATATCACGACGGAAAGACGAACCACCGAGGCATTAACGAGTGTTTCTTGGCTTTGTCCCGTAAATATTACTGGCCGAAAATGAGAGAGCATATTACTAAATTTATTAATGACTATACAGTATGCGGACAAGCTAAGTATGACCGCAATCCTGTTAAACAGAAATTCCAAATTGTAGTACCAGCTTCTAAGCCTTTTGAATTAGTTCATGTAGATTTACTAACCATTCAAGGGGAAAAGTATTTGACAATAGTAGATTCCTTTTCTAAATATGCTCAAGTTTACTACCTGCGAGACGGCACTGCTGTCAGTGTAGTGCAAGCTTTGCTGATTTTCTGCACACATCATGGAATTCCAATTACTATAGTTTCCGATAATGGGCCTGAGTTTACCAACCAACTTATTGCTGAATTCGTTAAACTTCATAAAATTCAGCACCATAGAGTAGCCCCACATGCTCCTAATGAAAATGGCATTGTTGAACGATTTCACGCCACCATATTAGAACATCTCAGTATTTTAAAGATAAATCAAAACAATGATGATGAATGAATGAATCCGCTATTAACCTTATGCCCTATGCCCTATTAGCTTACAATCTTGGTATACACAGTTTCACAAAATGCAAACCAATAGAAGTAATCACAGGATATTTTGACCGTCGCGATTCTTTTGATATAGATCTGTCTGCCTATTTACTTCAACAGTATGTAGTAAACCACAAAGGCAGAATGACTGAGACCTATAAGACTATTCACGACCTATGTTACGACATGCGTAAAGACTTGACTAATAGTCGCAATAAAAACCGCGAACCGGAAGCTGAGTATTCCCCGGAACAACAAATCTTTATAAAGAATCCATTCGACGCTACTGTACATAATGTTATATGTTTTTCCATTCGGGGAAAGAATGTGGAGATTCTGGGCATTTGACAGACGCGAACATGCTACATACAGCTGACCATGAGAGAAGCACGGTTTTTCTAAGTTGACCTCTGCTACCTGAAACGTTTACCCTTGAGCTTTATTAATTGTCATTGCAAAACTGAGCTTAATAGAGAACTGCAACCTTTTCAATTGAAAAGGAAGATCTGTGGGAATTATAGGGATCCGTGGTATAATAAAATTATCACATTTTCCTACGCCTGTCAAAATTGTAGCACCGATTATGTTCCGTCCAAGATGTGTCACACGCAGCCTTGTCCCGTTATATAACCGAGGAGCATAACGCTCGCAATTAATTCGGAATGACTCTGTACTAAATTACGAAAATCTCTCGTCAATTTAACGCAGCCCTCAGCATCCGTTTCCAACCGCCCATCGCCAATTTTTAATAGTGTGTCAGCATAGTTTCCAGCATTGATATTATTATACAAATGCACTCTCATATTCGTAGTTAAACTGAATTTTGTCACCTTGTTCCATAAAATAGACGACATGAGGCATGCTTTAATTTCATCTGCAGCTGTTCCCTTTTGAATAACAGGTAAAGTTTGGCAAAAGTCACCAGCCAGTATAACCACAATTCCTCCCATTACATCGATATTGCTGCGCAAATCCTGGAGCGTTCGATTTAGTGCTTCTACAGC